TATATCCAGGGATATCTGGGATCCCAGATGGGTTAAGACCTCAGTATTACAAACTTGTAGAAGAAGTATTTCCTCCTTTTTCTTACTATTCCCTTTCTGAGACAAAAAGAAAGTTTCATGCTTCTCCCTCTGGTTTATAGAATTCATCTTATTTGTGTCTCTACAGAATTTAATGAAACTTGCATGCCATCTTGCTTATCCATTCCTGGTCTTTTAGCCAACAGAAGGAAGCCTAATGCAGGGGGAGACATTAAGCTGTATTCCACTGTGTGAAAGATAACACATCTCTGATTTAATCACTAGCATTCCATTAACACAGTGTATAAAATATAAAAAGATCTTTTGTTTAGGTTACAAAAGGCCCCATTACAAAGAAACACAGCAAATGCCACCCATATTTAGATGTGCTGAGGCATCTCAAAATATTGCCATTTAACTTCAACAGTAGGCATGAATGTGTTTCTTAGCGTAGGCAAGAATTACCTGGGAATGTTTCATTTCACTTAAGCTCAATTCTGCAGGCTTTTCCAGTGTTGACACCCTTTGCTGCTTGAGAACCACTGCTATGCTCTCTTCCATCTGTAAGATCTGCTTTTGGATGTGAGCAACTATCTGCCACCCCTGGGTTAAGAAATGCCCTGCCCATAGCATGCACACCCCTCATTTTTTACTGCTCTTTCCTCACTGCCTTTATCCCCTCTGTACTCTGGAAGGGCCTTAGATTGAATCTGTGCCTGTGCTGCTTCTGCCCCACCTGCAGAACTGGCTGGGAAATTCAGTTCACACCTGTGCTCAAGAGCAGCTTCCCGTCTGATTTCTGATTTCTAGGGCTTGTTGGCATATCTACTAGCTCATTACCTGGGAGACCTGCCTTTTACTTCATCCAACTTTTTCTAGGAGAGTTTGAGATGAAGAAATTCTCCCCTTTTGATTATCTTTTATTAACAATACCATGTCCTCATCTCATGAGATTCTCGTGGGGTGCTGTTGGATCTCACAGATAGGATCAGTGTGGGATGGCAGGCTGAGAAACAGTGGTTTCAGGATGTAGAGTCACAGTGTGTGCTGCCTGGCTGCAATGCTCAGAAAGCCACCATTTAGGAAAATGCTTCCTATATTTATGTAGCTCGTATGCTGGCTTTGGCTCTGAAAGTCAGGCTTGTGACTGCCTGTAGTGCTCTGCATATAAATGACCATATTCTCTTCCAAGTCGACAAACTTATGTAGGGCTCAGCAAACACTATTATATTGCTTTCTAGTTCTGCCTTTCAGTTGGTTTTGGATAAATATTAATGTTAACTTGCATCGTAAGCACAAAATCATCCTGTTCTAGTAGTTTTTGTGCATGGTCAGAAATGCTTTTATACTGTCACTGTGTATTAACAAGTTAATTTAAATATACATTGGCTTGCATTAAGAAAGCTTCTGCCGAGACATCTTTCATTATTTTTATAAATGCCCTGATCCAGCCTCAAGGCAATTATGGGTCTGTTTTAATAACCCAATTAAGGTGCAGCTGGGTTAGAATAGTATGAGCAATGCAGATTTAAAGTCTAAAGTGCTTTGGGAATTCTTAAAGGCAGTAAGAAGTTCACATTAGGAACTTGACTAAGCCAAGTTAAAAATATAAACAGAATGAATGCTAATGGTCAAGGAGGCCATTAGGAACTGAAAGAAATTTAATAGGGAAATTAAAATCTCATTTAACTAATTAAAACTCAGGCTATGTAGCTTTAGCAAGACTGGCATATGCTACCTGAAAAATTAATTCATACTACAGACATTTAGTGTCTTCCTAAAAGCATTTTTGTTTCTAAGAGATCTTTTTTTCCCATTTAAATATTCTCTGTGCTTGTCTTTATTTGGCTTCATAATCCTCTGTGGGGTAAAATGTTAATGTACCGAGATCTAGAATACCATTCTAGGCAAAAGTAACAAAGGCCAGAAAGTATTTCAGTGCTTAACTTAAATAAAATCACTTGTTTTCTTAGCTCATTTACTGACATAATAGTGGAAGGGAGTCGGAGGGCCAAATCATTAGGGGATAGGAAAGGCTGCTATTTAAACTTACAGCAATTGCAGCAAGACAGTAGAGATAAAGTAGAAAGTGTATCTGCTAAACAAATCTCCCTCCTTTGTTTCTAGGTGTGGTCACTGTAAGAACTTGGCTCCAACCTGGGAGAACCTTGCCAAAGAGCAATTTCCAGGTTTGACTGATGTCAAAATAGCAGAAGTGGACTGCACTGTGGAACGTAATGTCTGCAACAGATTTTCTGTAAGTGTGAAAGTTCTGAAGTGAAGGGGACAGTATTGTGTACCAGATGCTGGAGGCTCCAGTGTGCAGCCCAACTGGTTGCTGCATTCCAGGTGCCTGGTGACAGTACAGCTGTGGTCTCTGTTAGCCAAGAAGAGGCACCTGGTGACACCATTTCATTCCTGAACTGTTTGTTTGGGCTTGGTCGTTTACATTATTGGACAAAGCTGAAGAAGTCCCTACTTAAGGAAACCTCTCTCTCTGAAAGCACTAAAGCTGTCTTGCAGTATCCAATGCCAAATTCTGTTCCTAGGAAAAAAATGGCTTTCAGAGCTGTTAGGCAGACAATTGAAGACAGAGCTGGGGCTGTCATTCCAAGACCCTAGAGGAACATGTATTACCCCATTCTCTTAAATATGTTCAGAAATTGCAGGTTGGCATTGAAAGTTCTGAAGTGAAGGGGACAGTATTGTGTACCAGATGCTGGAGGCTCCAGTGTGCAGCCCAACTGGTTGCTGCATTCCAGGTGCCTGGTGACAGTACAGCTGTGGTCTCTGTTAGCCAAGAAGAGGCACCTGGTGACACCATTTCATTCCTGAACTGTTTGTTTGGGCTTGGTCATTTACATTATTGGACAAAGCTGAAGAAGTCAGGAAAGGAAACCTCTCTCTCTGAAAGCACTAAAGCTGTCTTGCAGTATCCAATGCCAAATTCTGTTCCTAGGAAAAAAATGGCTTTCAGAGCTGTTAGGCAGCCAATTGAAGACAGAGCTGGGGCTGTCATTCCAAGACCCTAGAGGAACATGTATTACCCCATTCTCTTAAATATGTTCAGAAATTGCAGGTTGGCATTGAAAGTTCTGCTGTGGAGGTTTTTTTTTGAGATTAATATGGCTTACTGTTTTAGAGGGGTTTGATGGCTTTTCAGAATCAGGTAAATATAAGTGATGGATACAAGTCTGAAGATTAATAGCAAATTTCTTTTTTTGTGTGTGTCTTTTGAAGGTACGTGGTTATCCTACACTTCTGCTTTTCCGAGGTGGAAAGAAAGTCAGTGAACACAATGGAACGAGAGACCTCGAATCACTGCATAACTTTGTCTTGCGTCAGGCAAGGGATGAACTGTAATAAAAGTCTGGATGCTCTGTCCCTGGCTGTCTCTGTACAGTAGCTGAGGGATTTCTATCTTGGCTAATTTTCAAATAGTGTATTTGGGGGGTGGGGCTTTTTTTGTTTCTTTGTTTCTAGGAAATTGAATGTACTAAACTTTGGTATCTTCCACTTGTGTGAGTGTTAGAGACATGTCTCTGTGTGTGTGAAGGAAAGCTAACAAATAGTTACTGTGCAAATCAAGAGTATTTTCAGCATTGGTAGTTGCACTGCATTTCTGCATTCCTGCAATGAAGTGTAAATGGTTTCCTTTGAGACCAAAATATGTTAAGAAAACCAAATGAAGGGCAGCAGTAGAATATTTTTGTCTTCAGGTTAGATCTGATTAAAAAGTAATCCTTACAAACTGCTTACCATTACTAGAAAGGCAAAAGCAACAGCTGTGTTGAGTCACTTTTGCCTCTGGAATTGTACTTAGTCCTTATTTGTCTTAATATAGCTGCTGAAAGGTTGAAAACACACACACCTTTGGAAGATACCAGGTCACCATGAGCTGGTTGTTTCCTGTAATTCCTCTCAGCATGGGAAGTCTAGCCATAATGAAAGTGATGGTACTATAACATGTGCCTGAATGTTACTGATGCCATAGTGTACATCTGTCAGGTGCATTTCCATAGGCTGCTGCCATCCAGCTCCAGAGGCACAACTGTGCTCTACTTCTCTAGAGCCAGAGTGAAAAATAGGTGCTGTTATAACTGCCCTGTTCATGGTAAATGATCAGTCAGACTCCAGAGCTAATGATGTGTTTCCTACCCCAGCCTGAATCCAGACATTGTGCTGACCTGCTCCTTAGTCAGAGTACCTAGAACAACAAGTAATGCAATGTTTAATATTTTTTTCTTCCATTCAGCTCTTCTGCAGTAGTGTAAAATAGTTCCCCCCCCCTCTTCTCGAGCCTTAACGTTTTTCCAAGCTGTAAGCATTGATAAGTTTGAATGCTAGGACCACACACTTTGTGGTGTCTTGGATTATAATATGAATCTATTCTTTGGTGCATAAAATGTTCCATGTTAGACTTAACTGAAAGCCAAAGGATTTATATTGCAGAGACTGTCATGATACAAAGGCAACAGCAAATCAAGGACTGAATTCTGCTGTCTCATGTGCACAGAAACTCATGAGGAATGAGGATTGCTACAGGCTAATTTGACTAATGTCAAGATGCTGGGTTTTGTCCATCATATGGAGTAAGTTGGGTTGCTTTTCTTTTTTATTAAAAAAAAAAAGGCAAAACATCAATGAACTTTTAAACCAGTGAATTTCTCCTGGTTCTTCACTTCACTGTCTGTCCAGAACTTTTGATTCTGTTCAGTCTGAAAACGCGTGATGGTGAAAAAGCCACAGTGAAAGCTAAGTGTTGTACTGGCAGATGTATTGGATCAATGTGTGTACTTCTGCCTTTCAGGAAGCCTTTATTATGTTTTTAACAACTTTCTAGTGAAGCACAATCTCATGAGTTTCTTGTATAAAATCAAAGTGGTACAATTGTTTACACTGAGATTTTTTTCTAAATAAAAACTTTTTAAAAAAGCAGTCTTTCTATAAATGATACAGCACAATGAATATACAGTGACAAGTGCAATAAATTATAGCTTGTATTTACAAGAAGCCTTTTAAATGCAAGTAGAGGTAAGTGCATTTAATACAAGTTTAATATTGATCAAAACAATTTGCTATTAGCTTCTGCTAGACAAATCATGGCTCTACGCTGCCTATCCTTTATACCAGTTTGTTAGTTGCATGAGTTGAAAGGGAAAGATTGCAAATGTTGTTGACTTTCTGTCTTCCTGTAAACAAACTGTCCAGCTAGAGAATGAATGGTCCCTAAGCTTTTACGTCTGACTTATAGCTGAAGAAGTGTCCTGACTTCCTTCCTGGGCAAGTGGTAGTAGATGAGGCAGCTCCACGTGAGAAGTGGAAGGAAGTTGCATAAGAGCAAGTGTATAAATTTGTATTGCTCAGTCAGATGGGAAGACTCAGCCAGGGTCTGAGTTCATGGTAGTGTTTCTAACACAGGGTGCAGCCATGTCATCTTACACTTGGAAGATCAGAGTTAAACAGTGCTGGGAGCATAACAGAACTGAAACATCTGCTTTGGCACAATTTTAGATGCTTACTGTCATGACAGATGGCAGAAGACTAACAGTCTAGGTGCAGTAACTGGTCCTTCTGGCCACAAGGATCTTGCATGAGATGTACACTCTATATCTGAAGTGCTAACAACACTTTCTTTAGCTTCTCTGCCTCTCCCCCTTATCTTCCCTCCCCACCCCCAAAGAAAGACCTCACTTGTTTTGAGTGTTGAGTCCTCATCTGGTAAAACTGCAGCACATATCCAAGCACCTGCTACAGGTCAAGCTTCTCTGTGAGATTAAGACCATCCCAGCCAAATAAAGTGTGTGGGCATTTTGCTGCTGCTGAGCTGAGCTGGGCAGCCACCGTGGCGTAGGGTCAGTCTGTAAGAAGTCCAGCAGTTTGCTCCCACCCTGGGGGGTGGTCCCCACACCCCTTCCTCCCACAAGGCACATACATGGTGTTCTGAAGGGTGGTTCATCACGTAGGTTTTTTTTTCCCAAGGTGAAAACAGGGAGGATTGTATCCAAGTTCATGGCAGCATCACAGAGTCCATGTGAAGACTGTTTGTCAGTGACATCCACAAGCTCTTACTACCATATTCCTGTATTTCTTCAAGATTACATTAGAATTATCATCAAAGTAAAGGACAGATATGGCATTTAGTTTGGTAGGTGCACAGCATGGTTTGGGAACGTAATCAGGATTCATTAGATGAACCTGTTGCCAAGAAAGAAAACACAACTGAGACACTGGTATATTGTTCACAAATTCACCTGGTGCTTTGGCATTGAGCTGCCTGGGGACTTACCAGAGTTTGTACAATGGCATGATTGGTTGCGTTCATGTGGGCGTTGAGTGGGAACGAGCACTCCCCATCACAGTAGTTGGCTGCGTAGCCTTTTGGAGCGATTATCCAGTCCTTTTTAGGGAAACAAACAGAACGTGGTTCAACAGACAACTGCACACAATTAAGAGCAGCTGAAAATTTTCCACTAACTTCTTCCTTGAGGGTGAAAATGTGTTTTCACTGAAACTCCTCGGGTTTTAGTTGGGTTTTTTAAATTTCTTTTTGTGTATCACTTTTCCGTGGACACACTGATTTTAATGTCGAAAGAATGATGCACATCTATGTACAGCTCAGCTACCATTAACTAAGAGGGCTTTACCCCCAAAAGTCTCCTTGGGTTGCCTTGTGGGGATAGTGATTTGGAGGCCTTTATTTCCAACATTTCCTGCAGGCCCTCTGGCTGAAATACCTTTCCTAGGTTGAGTCACAGCCATAGCTGGTGTTCCTCAGAGACAGCCTAGCTTATACACTCTTATAGAGGGATACTACTCTGCTAAAGACACTGTGGGAAATCCTAGCTGCCTAACAGCTTCTCCACATCTGCCAGACTCCTAAAGGAGGGGCAGGACAGCCCCCCTGAGCTGCATGAGCAAGCAGGTAGCCCCAGTGGCAATCTGAGTGCCATGCTAGGCAAAAAGGGGACTCTTCACCAAAGGAAGCTTGTCTGCTGCTGACACAAAAGAGCCAAAGGAAAATTAAAAGCAGCACCACGGAACAGGAGACACTTGGCCTCCCTTGGTGTTGGGCTCTGCAGGTCACCCTTCAGAAGGGTGTACCACTATGTTTCACGTGCATGTATCTCTTGGGCAATTTCCACTCTACCTGACAATCACCTGAGTTTGCCTGAATTTTGCTTCAGCAGGGCTGAACAGCCACACACGTTGCTGTAGCTTTGGTAACCAAATTTGTTCTGAAGGAAACAGCAGTGCCCAACAACTGCAGAGGGCCTGCAGTCCTTGCCTTGTCTTGATCATCTTCCTACAAAAAGTAGGACCTGGATTCCAGCTCTTAAAATGAACCCTGCTGGTCTGTGGCCTTCCTTTGGCATCATCTTACCTTTCTGCAACTAGAATGGTGAAGGCAGAGCCTTCAAGATCATGAACTTCCCAACTGGAATCCACTTCCTATCCAAAAGCAGGGCAAGTAAGATTAAGGAAGAGGTGCAATGTCTCTGCGCAAGGGAAAAGTCACCCATAAGAAATGGGGAATGGAGTCACCACACAAGCACAGCTGCAGCTACTGGGCTGGAGTTGACACAGGAGCTGCAAAAAATGCTGCTATCCCATTAGCTGAGAGAGGATTTGCATGTGTTGGGTACAGAAGAAGCAGGGACAGCGCTGGCATCCTGAATTATAACCTGGTAAAAATATTAGCTGATAGAAATGGGACCTCCCTCACGAGTGCTGGATGAAAGAATGAAAAAAAAATTTTGAAAAAGAGAAGGTGAGGGCATTCTTTGAAATATGATGTTTGTTTGCACTATAGCCTGGTCCTAAGTAACTTACTCTTACTCTAAACAACTTTCTGGCCTCATGGTGTTGCAACTAAACTCAGTCTTCAGTCTACCTACCGCAGGCAGTGCTAAGTGTGGGCATTGTGGAGGGATTGTGGAGGATTTCAAACAATGACCAAGGTTAAAATCAGGGTGAACACTAGAAAAAAATTTAGTTAAAATCACTGCTTAACATCAGATTGTTTTCCTTATCATTAGAGGTACACAGATATAAGCCCTTGCCCGTACCATGACTCCCATGAGTGACAGAGAATGACTGTATACTTGAATCCCATAAAGTATCAAGCTTTCTCTGGGTCTTATCAAATGTCACAACTATCAATATTTATTTGCCTTCTCTGTGACTGGTTTTAGTGAGGAGGCACAAGGGACATTTTAAAGCATAATGCCAGACTCGAGTGGAATTACCGTGACACTGTTTAGATAACATTTCATAACAAAATGTCTGGTTTACCCAGAGAGAAACATCACACACCTGCCATCCCAAGTCTTGGAAGCTAACGTAAAGCTCATGCTTTCTGCACGCTGTTTTTAAGTCACTGCTGTTGTAATCTGTTAAAAGAAAAAGAGCAAAACAAGAATTTAGAAAGTAAAACAGGCCGAGCATTGCTGGAGGGCACATCTGGCCAGATGTGTGCATGCTGTGGGCTCAGCAGTGAGAAGTGATGAGCTCCCTCAGCAGCTAAAAGGATAAGGGGTGATGAGGGACATCCAAAGCAGGGCTGAAGCTTTTAAGATGCCTGTGGGAATGGAGAAACCCAAATAACAGTGACTCAGTTCTAGTTACTTCAGCTGCCTTGAAAGTGCTTGGAAAACACCCCCAGTAAAACAACTTCTTAAAAATAAATCTACTTCAACCCTGCATAGGCTGCATCCCCACCAGTGCTCACACTCATCCCACTTTCTCGGCTCCCATTTCTGACATGTGCTGCCCCAGGTGGGAAGCTCACTGAGAGAGAGAATTACAGCCCCAGGAAGGTTAATCATCCCCTTGTGCCCCTGCGCCAGTCTGCAGAAGTCCTCAAACAGCTAAGGTGTCCCATAGGCAGGGAAGCCACGTCCTTGTTCCTTTCTGTACCTTACCCCAGCTTGTCCCACACATCTCATGGCACCACCTCTGCCCTTGGACCTTTACAAACCATGCTCTGAAAAACAAATTTCTCCTGTTCATAAACTGCTTATCTGAAGATGACACAGCACTTGACATGCTCTCACCATTCACTTGCTCCTTATTGTCAATAAAGTGGGGACACAGGATGCAAAGCCCTGACCAAGACCTTATCCCTTGTCACGGCACAATGCATGGGGACATTTCAACCATGCAGGAGCTGCTCCTGATGATCCCACAAAGCATAGCTATTGATAGTGAGTGGAATTTCCCATTTATATTTGGAAAGAGAGGCAGCTCTGCATGTGAACACCTGAAACCACAGTGAGCAGAGGAGCTGAGCTGTGACAGAGGGGCCTTTCACCTCCAGGTGGCTGCACAGATCCACCCTGATGGGTGGTTGCTGATTTTGTCACACCTCAGGTGCTGCTGGACCTCAGCAGAGCAGCCACAGAAACCACCCTTGCAGCGAGTTGACTTGGCCACCACCTACAGCTGCTGATCTGTGCTTTGCACCCAATGCTAGGCATGAGAGAAAGAGATGGCAACAAATCCAGCCAAGCAGCTTGGGAGCCAGGTCATCATCCATGTTTTCCTCTCATGCCTTTCCACAGGGGCCTTCTCTTCCCTCACAGCTCCCATTTGTGAGTAAAGGCGCTCCTGTCAGCAGGCAGATGCCACAGGCTGATGCCCCTGCCCCCTGCTGCCCTAGATCTTTCTGCTTACCAGCCCCCTGGTGCCCCTAACACGGCTTGAAAGGGCACCCTCCCAGTGCAGCTTTCCCCAGATGCGGCAGCTGGGATAGAAAAATATTTTTAGTGATTTTTTCTTTGGCTCTGAATAAGCCTTTCTTTTTCTTCCCTCCAGCACCATTCCCCCCGCCACCCCCCCCCCCGAAGTTTGGGAACTACAAATGCAAATATTTATTCAGAAGAAAAACTATAATACTAAAAGCACATCCAACTGACATTAAGGGCAGCACAGCAGTACAGCTGGGTACAGTTAACACTGAGGGCTGAAAAAAACTCTACACCTCAAACCCAGCTTCCCAACCACCAAAGATTAGAGAGTTGTTTTTAGAAGCAGTTGGGTTTTAAACTCTGAGGATTGCATTTCAGCCTTTGAATAGCTTCGCTTCAATCACGGATTTAATCAGGTGAGCAGAGCTGGTTAACAGCCTGCTGCAGCATAAACATTCGCTCTTCCAGGAGCACGCGGTAGCAAGAACGGAGGCGAGTCCCTCTATTCAAGCTTTCCATTTTCAAACCAGACATACCCAGCAGAAACCAGGGTGTGGTGGTTTATTTCGGATGAAGCTTCCCAGTCCCTGGCTCAGCCCAGGAGCAAATTTCTAGCATGAGATGTTTCTAAATGATTTTGTCATAATGAGGGGAAAAAAAATATGAGAAGATGCTTTTAGTGATCAGCAGCTTTCATTGAAACACCTGAGAACACAACTTAATTGTTCTTCAATGGGATATATAGATTGTTTAGAGGGAAACCATCTGTGTTTGACAGTGAAGTTGATCTATTCACAACTGAGTGGGTAAAATGGTGCCATGTTCCAAATCCAGCTACAATTTACCCAGATCTGCTACAGGAAAAGGGAGAAGGCAAGGGAGGCAGAGAAAACAGGAGTGGGAAGGAAGGCTGCAAGCAATCACAAGTTTAAGAAAACACAGGGGTGGAAAAAAAGAGCTGCTTAACAAGGTACACCAAGCAGAACAAGTTATGAACGTGTCCTCTCTCACACTACCCCAAAAACTCGCCTCAGCTCACTGGTCAGAGTCACCTGATTCACACTCTGCATGGAGCCCTGGCTGCTCTCCATCCAGGGCAGATGCAGACAGCTCTACCTTCTCACTTGCCCAGCCTCAGCCTTTGCTTTTCTAAATGTCAACACATTAAACATCCCCTCTCCCTAGCTTTACACTCTTTGCTGTTTAACCCTCACCCCAAGATCCTCTGCCCTCATTTCTTGTTATGTGTTTGCCTACCATGCTTGCTTTATGGAAGCTATTTTAGTCCAACTTTAGGTAAGCTACAAACCTTTAAGCAACCCTTAGCAGTGGCTTTCTGAATTGGGGAAAAAGATGCAGAGGTACAGATGCATATAATCATGACCCATTCCCCACAGTTAGGGGCTCAGCATATCCCCTTCATGGGGCATACATCCTGAAACCCCATCAGTTATGGGTCTGAAAAGAAGAGGAATACATAGAGTCACAGGGTTTTGGCAGTGAGCTAAAGCTCACTGAGCTACTGAAGTTGGCTTCCACACCACATTTTCTGCACAGCCTGGAAAGCAGCATCAGCCACCCCAGGCCAGCGTGCTCAGCTGTTTTAGCCCAAATTGCCACTTGGCGTGGTTTGCAGTGCAAGATCCAATTGCCAAGAGGCAACGGGGTTTGTGTCCCTTCCCGCCAGCCTTGCAGCAGGGAGCCAGGAGGGCCACGAGCAGGCAGCCTGCAGAGGGGAGGTGCTGCAAACAGCCACCACAGGGCTGGCCCACACTGCCACGGCACAACTGGCAGGGATTGCTCACCAGGGGCCTTCAGCATCTCTGAGAGTTTAGGGAGCTGCTTTGGGAGCTCCTGTAGGCTCATTGTGGGTTTAGCAAAACTGTCTCTATTTTTGCCCCCAAACATACCAATTCAGAAACACTAACTTGGCACTTACAAGGCACTGCATTTAATCACGCTGCAAACAATTTTGTCTAAAACAGAGATTCAAAAAAAGCTCAAACCCCTAGTTCTGCACTTAAAAATAACTCCCGGAGCAGCACAGTTAAAACAGCACAGCTAAGATGTCTTGTCTCTCTGGTGTTGTCTGCCTTCACCAGGACCCAAATCTGACTTTCTGCAGGCACAGATGTTTCTCTTAAGGCTGGACACTGGCATGTGTATTACTGAAAAGGGTGAGAGAACAGCCTGACCCTAATGGTCTTCCTCCTACAGATACTTAGGCACCCACCTTAGATTTCCTATAACCTCTCCCACGTTAAGTGCTGGCAAAGAACATATAAATATTTACTGCAGTCGATCCATCTGAGAACACCCTTGCTGCTCCCAAGGTGCCAGTTTACCAAATTCCACACAGTTATTAATTGCTTCTGTGATTCCAAATACCTTTGACAGAGGTCTCCAAGGCCAGCCCCTTCTTCTTGGTGTTTGACTTTGGTGATTTGTCCGGATAAAGCTGGTGTAAACTGATCACACAGTTAATAACAGCCCACTTCACATGAAAGTGTTCTGCCTGGGTGGGAAGAAGGGGAGATGTCGGGCTGACGTGAACCCGCATGTGAAGGCACATAGAGAAATGCTGGCCATGCTGCTCCAGTCTGCATCCAAACACTGCACTGAGGGGAAAACTATACTGGAGGGAAGATTGGCTGCCAGATAACAAAGTTTATTAACAAGGACTTTGCCATCACAAAAGCATTTGGCCGTATTTGCCTTCAGTGTTTGTGCATGTTGCCCTTTGCAATATTTGATTCCCGTACACATGGGAAAATCTGCCTGGTGCAGTGCATGTCTGCTGGAAGGAAAGGCCACTTGAAGGGCCTCTCCATTTCTCATGGAGCACCTCACTTCAGTCCAGGGGGCATTAAAGAGAAGGACCTGAAAAGCAACTTGGCTTGAGTTTCATTCTGGGCAGCAAGTGCGGCCCAAAGTCAGGCATTTAAATTCTCTCTATGAGGAGGGGCTGACAGGAACGGATGTGCCTGGAGGCTGACCTGCAGAAGAGAAGGATTATTGCCACTGGAGAAAGAGATAGCCCTGTGCAAAATCCATAAATTATGGAGTTGGCTGAAGGGCAGAGGTTCACCGCCTGTTCTGCTGGACAGTCCCATCTCTTTGGTCAGCTGGAGGGTCAGCACGAGTCTGAGAGCACGACTTCAAGCCACTGCAAGCCAGCTGAGCCAGGGCCTCCTGGCCCTGCAGACAACAGCAAAGAAACACCTACAGGCTCCTCCCTCCCACCATGTCCCTCCATGTCCAGGGTCATACCTGGCGTGTGACTTCCTGCCTCAGCAGATGAAAATACTCCCTTTTCTTCCTGCTCATCCTCCTTCTGCAGAAGAATTTTGAGGCTCCAGGAATGCATTGACGCAGGACTTAAAGCAGTTTATAACCATGGGGGTTGCTCAGTTCTGCTGTATATAAGCCAGTGATAATTATGTGTTTATAATACATGGAAATAAGCATTCTTGGCAAAAAAAAAAAATACAGACTATTGAGAACCTTGCGCCACAGACACAGCCTTAGCATCTGAACTCCTGGTACTGACTGCAGGACAACTGCACACCAAAGGGAGCACAGTGGGGTCCCTTTCCACACAGAGCAGCATGCCCTCACCTAACTCCCTGCCTCCCCAGGTCCAATACCAGCCCCACAGCATACTTCATGCACTCCAAACTGATTGAAACACTTGTCTAGACAGTAATTGGGGCTTTTTAAAACATACTGCCCCCAAACAACTCACAGCATCTTCTGGGAAAGGGGTTCTTTTTTTGGATTGAAAAAATAAAACCCTTTGTATTGATTACCACAAAGGAAGGAAGTTGGAGTCTACAAAAAAACCCCATCAAAACTAAAAACTGTCTTGCTCTGCAGAAGAGAAACTGCTCTCAAGTCCTGGTAGGGAGCTGCAATCCCACCTCGGGGAAAAGCACCAACCAAAAATCTGACAAGACATGAGACACAACAGGAGAAGAAGATGCGTGGGTGAGGAGAGGCACAGAAGGGAACTGCAGCATCCCAGTTCTGCACCCACTTTGGGTCCAGATGCATCAGGGCACCCTCAGAAGAGCTAGGCAGCCTTCAGGATAATCCCTGGGCTTGCCTTCTGCTTCATCCCAGGGCAAATGCCTCCTCAGCCCCATCATGCATCAGGATTTTTTTATCCTCCCAGGTTAAAAAAAAAAGAAAAAAGCTCTGTGATCTCTAATGCTAAAAACACTTTTTGGTCATTGGTGCCTCTTGGGCTGTTAAATCAACCACTTCTTAAAGAGAACAGAGTCTGAGAGTGTCACACTTATAAAGGAAAACAAGATGATGTAGTCTCTCTTTTCTAAACACAGAAACCAACCAAACATACATCTTAACTTTAAATTCCCCTCCTTTCCCCTGCTTCAAATCCACAGTCTAAACTATACCTTGTTGACTACTGTGCTGCCAAATTCCAGGTTTTAAATTAAAGCTGGCCCAAAAAAAACCCTTGAGACCACAGAATGCCAGCTATTTTCCCTTTTTGTCATTTTAGAATTTTATGACCTGATGTGTGGTGTAGTCAGGAAAGCAGCAAAGTACAAATAGCCCTTTTTGCCCAACATATTTGCTCCCTCTGGGGCTTTGAGTCACATCACCTGATTTAATAGTGTGAAAATTTTGTTTCAGCACTGTGAAGTTTGCAGAGCTAGGGAGAGAAATCTGGAGCTTATCCTGACTCCAAGTGCCACCAGCACCACAAAACAGCAATGCAGCACGTAACTTTCCCAAAGCACCGTGAATGCATTACAAAAATTGGCTCTTGTGAAGGGAGCACAGAAGCTGAGCCTACCTAAGTGGGAGAACTGCCTGCATAACAGCTGGGCTTACAACACCCAGCTGAATAAACCACCTGTGCTCTTGGCAAGCTCATCATGCAGGAAAGTAACTCAGCAAGCAGCTACGATGCCCAGCTTTAAAACTGCAGCACGGAAACCTGCAGGAGGACCAAAGGAGGTCTCAGCAACTTAGATCCACAGAAGGTGTTCCTATGGCAGATTAGATGATAACTCCTCCAGAAATGCCACACTGGCACTGGCCAGCCTCCCCCAGAGAGCTTGGGCTGCAGAACCGAGTTGTTCCTCCTGCCCTTAAAATCCACAAAGGATATCTCACACCAAGCTGTGTCTGGCACTAGCATGGCACGGCATTGGAACCCACAGCCACCCTGCAGCGTGCACCACAAGGACATGCAGAGGCCAACTGCTGCTGGCACACACCAGCCCAGAGGGCAAGTCCATCACCACAGGGGGCTGGAGCAATTGAGCTGAGTCAACACACGGCCGTGCACAAACCCTGGCTGCCAGCCCTGGAAGGGCTCCCAGCCTGGCTCTGCTCCCTGCAGCATGGAGCCACCTTGGGTGCAAGCAATGGCTCACCCACAACCCAAGCATGCAAGCGCAGGGAACAGCCTACATATTCCCACCAGCTAAGCACCAGGAATGCTGGCTCATCTCCCTCTGCTGTGTTTGGACATAGACTAAAAAAATACAGCTGCCCCTCTTCCTTGGGGCATAGTCATTTCTAGACATGGGAAAAGCAGGGATCCTATTGGAAACGAAGGGGGCAGCATAAGCAAATTAATCAAGCAACTTGGAATAGGCTGAAATGTTTGAGAGGAAAGAAGGTACTCAATGAATGAAGGGCTTGTAGCACTGTGGTGATGGAAAACAGACAAGACTTAGAAGACAGAAAACTCTCAATTGCTGCCAAAATGTAATTGTTACTCTATTGCACCACCAGCCCACAAAAGCACCCACAAGGCTTCTGTACAAAACCTGCAACATGCAACTTGTCCACAGCAAAAAGGCAAACTTCTTTGCCTGCCTGGAAAGGTACTTCACCATGTGTACACTGATGTTCTCACAAGACTAAAAAAAAATAGCATCTCATGCTGTTCTTCCATGTTTTTTCCAAAGAAAATTGAAAGAGGACTCTGTTGGGAATGCATACATGCAACACCATAAATCTCAGTGTATACAGAGACAGTCTTTGAAATACCGCATTTCACAGGGCATAATTCTAGACAAATACTGCATAGCAAACAACCTGCAAGCACAAGAATTGTGGTTAAAATACCTCACCACCTTGAATTCAATGGATGCTACTTCACATGGGGGTCTGGACTCCATGCTGGATTCAAGAGGACTCCTGTAAGTTTCATTATGTGACACCTCCTCTCCTACAACCTTGCAGATGTAACCTATTCCCCCAAGGAAGAGCATCCCACCTCACGACCCCCTTCTTGCTTCTGCCCTCCAAAACATCCAGAGCCAATACAAGACATCATCCCAGCTCGTGCTGCATGATTGATTACCCCTGTTCCATGATTACCTGTGACACTGGACACCCTGGAAACGTCCTGAGTCTGGGTGGAGCGGTTCCGGCTCTGCTGCCTGCGCCTGCTGCTCGCTGACCTCGTGGTGCGTAGGTGAACCTCGCTCACTTTGAAGAAGGCCACCATGAAAGGCTGCTTGTCATAGGGGCCATCTCGCCCTACCAGCCCTGCTTCTCTAGGGTTTACACTGAAACCTTCAAGCCAAACAGAAAAGGGAGAAAAGTTAGAGAAACGGTGCAGTTGCATTTCCCCTTTCAGCAACGAGCGTCTCTTCTCTTCTTGCTCATACTCTTCTTTAAACACCAAACATTTCTTTCTTGACACCACGACCTATGGATGTTTTTATGACAGCTCTCCACCCATGCTGGACAAGACTTCACTGCAGCATCTGCTTCCTTGGTACCCCTTTGGCATCTCTAGTTCCATTTGGTAGTAAAGTTATATAGATAGATATGTGAAACACTAAACTGGATGCGTCATGACATCAGTCCTGCTGCCTGTGAAACACAAGAAGCAGACATGAGATTAGGAGATGTCTAGGGACAGCAGAGGGCAAAGAGATGGTGTGCTTTTGCCAGGAGCACAGTGATGGGTTCTCAGCCCAGCTGGAGAGGTAGAGTTTGGCACTAACATTTCCTCATGGAGAAGTGGACAGGCCCTCCAGTCTAACTTGACATCACAGGTGTACTAAACTGCAGCATGAAGCAATAGAAAAAAAACAAGGTTGGAGATTGGTTCCTGTAAAGACAGATGTCACCGTCACCTTCTGCTCATTTAGATCCTCTCCACTGCTTATCTTCCAACACTCAATTTCATGCTCTTTTGCAGTCTCTTATTTTCTTTTCTACCCTTCAAAGTTTCTGTAAGTTGTGAAATGCTGCTATTACAGCTGCCCCACACAGCAACCACATAGTTTCTCCAGCAGTGCTCCCACGTCATCTTTGATGAGATCAACAGCAGTCACAGCAGCCAGGACAGCTGACATAAACCCACACAGGGAGGTACATACCTCTGCCTTTTCTTCTCATCCCCAAACCTCAACCCACATGGCATCCCAGTTCCATGCCCCATCCCACCTCCAACCCAGAAACTGAGGCCCTACCCAAACCCACCTCCACCAGCTGGCCTGGTACGGTCTAGGGACAGCTGACCTCTCTTATGGGGAAAGACATGTCCATGATGGGACAGCCAGGAACCAACAGCCCACCACCTGTGCCCTCAGACATCTTGCTCGTGGTGTTGGCTGCAGCTGCCTTAGGAATGCAGAGCGCTCAGCCTGCCTCATCCCAGCAGAGTTCTCTTAGCACCTCTTCTAGATCCAAGAGACTGAGGGGTGACCTGTGCTACCCAGCCCATAACCTACCATCCCGGGTCACCACGCTGAGCTGCAGTCCCATGTTGTGCTGGGGGTTCATCACCCACATGTTGCTGGTGGCAGTGACGTCGAACTCCAGCCAGCCCTCCTCCGACGCCCACACCGCCCGCGTGTCCAGCAGAAACAGGTCAGAGGCCCTGCAGAGAAGGGTAGTGACAAGACTGTGAGGTTGGGGATTCTCTCTCCTGGCTTTTGCTATTACAGAAACAAAATCTGAAATAGTTCTAAGTTATGTTAATGTCTAAAACAAAACAATGGCTCAAATCTGCCCACTTGTATCCAGAGTTTTGCCATGAGAGGCATGTACTTCCACATGTGAAATTCAGGATTATAAAGGTTTTCACCATTTTCTAAGACAGAGGAAAGCAATCCTTCTCCTCAGGGCTGTCCGTTTCTTCACCAGCAAGGGATTAGTAAGGCACTCTTCTTCCTGAAAAGTGTACTGCTAGCTCTGACATTACTTCATTCATACATTTAGTACATTAATAGCCAGTGGAACCACCAGCATGACCAGGCATTCTATGGCTTTTGCCACAGGGGTATCATGGTTTAAGCTCCCCATACATAAATACAGGCTTACCTCAACTGACCAAAATAAAGACCCAAATAAACAACTGGCCAAGCATCAAAAAGTGAAGGAAAATGAACCTCTAAAGGCCTCTAATGACATTTTTTCTGAGGCTTATTAACAACAATCGTTGCCTTGCTCCAAGGCTGCTGGTCTTGCACCACCTTCATGAGCTTCAGCTTCAAATGCTTTTAAGTCAACAACTTTTTTGTAGCACCAAGTACTCAACCAAACTCTATTCAATGAAATCAGCTGCAGAAACACCCAGAGAAATCCCATGTACATTTTCTTACTGTATTACAGATGTAACTTTCCTGTGCAAGAAAGCTACAATTCCTACCCTCTACCTGTGGCCATCATCACAAAATGGATACCAGGTGTCAATCCCATCTACATCTCTTTTCCCCACTGGATTTTTTTTCCTAACAATGAAATGAGGAAACAAGGTACCCATCTCTCCTACCCACCAAAGGTTAAATTCAGAAAAAAAATTGATGGTTTTATTTTTGGCCAACTGCTATGTCATACTGCCCAGCAGCTTGGTTTGCGTGAGATCACACATGGAAAAGTAAGCACTTAAGTGTACTAGAGCTCTAGTGCAGCTATTTTTACAGCATGGAGGCTTTCCTCCACCTCACTGGTAGCTGCACACTGTGGTTGACTCAGCAGCCTTTCCCACAGGAGTCTTTGCCACCATTCCTCCAGCAGGAAGAGGGCTCAGGAGCAACTCTGACCTTCACCTCCAACAGCAGCATGCAGCTACGGCTGGTCAGCTGCTACGTGTTTTTGAAACCCTAAGGTTGAGAGATTTGGGCTTTCCCAGGCAGGGTATTTAAACTGAAATGTTGCTTAAAGGCAACTGCAAACAGCAGCTGCAGCTGTGACCACTCTTTCCCTCTCCAGTTTTAAGAGAGGAATGAACTTCTACATCATTCCCACCTCTGAATATGACTTAAACATTGGGCCTCTCCAATGCCTGAAGTCAAATATATCTGAAAAGGGGTTTTCCTAGCACCTGTTCCGACCTTCCTCCTCACACCAATTGCTTCCTGATCTCTGTAACTCCTCTACACAAGGAACTCTGTCAGAGCAAACCCTCTGAACATTGAAACACACACACAGGAGTAGTCAGGTCTAAAAAAACCACAAAGAGGAGGTCAAAAGTTTACATTTCCACTGTCTTTGACCTTTGGGAAGGCACCTGGACACTGGAGAGCTGTAAAGCCAAAATGTTCCACATGGCATCATTTAGCCCACTCCCCTGAACTCCAGGCAGGATCACCTACTACCATGTTGTTCCTGAGAGATGTTTGCCTGACCTGATCTCACATATCTCCAGCCTCAAGAACTCTCTCAACTTTCCAGGAAACTGAATGGGCTTCATGTGACCGTTCTCCCCCTTCTTTTATCTAACTTAAATGCCACAACAATGTCCCCTTTTTATTATAACAATATCTTCAGTCTCTCCTTAACAAGCCCTGTTTCATAGACTTTGACTTCTCTCATTGCTTCTTATTGACCCAGCTCAGATCAAGACCTCACTGATGCTGAGTACAGTGGAAAGATAATCTTGATACATCTCACAGACTGTGTCTCTACTCCCACACCTCAGAATATGATTTTGGCTTCTTCACAAAACTCACACTGTTAACTCATGTGTTCACCTTGTGATCTGCCATAATCCTTGGATTCATGCTGCTGAAGCAAAAAGGACACAGTAATTCCCTAGTCATTCAAATTTCAATGATTTTTCATGTCCAAATACAACTGTCCTTTCCACCAAATCAAATTTTCCCCCATGCCACCTCAGACTGAACCTCCACAATTATTAGATTACTTAAAATACAGACTTGCCCCCCAGTGGGTATCCCCCATTTTAGTATCCTCCACAAATATAGTAAGAAAACTGCCTGACCAAAGAACAATTCTACCAAAGAAGAATGAGCCACTTTATCCCACTGTCACTCTCCCTTTGGGGAAAGATTTTGATTCCTTTGTAAAATGAAGAAAAGTGGACCATTGAGCTTTCCAGTCAAGTCTCTGCAAAAAGTCCCATACAGGACAGGTTTTCAATCAGCTCTGCTAGTCAGATGACTTTTGCATTGTTCACCGGATGAAGATTCACCCTACAAGTATTTTAGGGCATAGTGGATGTGTAGGCAACACATCTGAGTACCTTTTCTTTAAGCCTCTTTTCAATCAATATTTGTCGCCCAAGCCTCAGCAACTGTGTATCATTACTAGTTTCCATTTTGGCATGAAGGTTTTAAAAAAAAATCCAGTCACCTATTTCAAAAGATAAAATTAAGGAGGAAGAAGGGGGAGGGAGGAAATTTACTCACATATAAAACCCTCCCAACTATTTAACTCTGTGTCTTTAACCATGCCTTTATATATAAATATATTTATATTTCACAGAAATCTTACATCCCCCCCACCCCCCTTAAGAAAATCAAATTTGGCCAAGCAGTAAGTACTTGAAAATTGCTGCCCACAAAGGCTCAACAGAGATTCAGCTCTCAGCAACAAAATTTTCTGGACTTTTTGCATGCAGGGAACATACATTCCCCTCCTTTCCCCCAAATACCAAACACCATGAATCACCTGAGGGGAATCTGCTCTTTCCTACAGCTGTGTGGCTAAGAGATACCCCTGCTACTCCTGCAAAAAAAGCCATATGATGTCTGATCTTGAAATGGACACTGGGAAATCTCGCAGACTAGCCTCTGGTCAAAGAGAAATAGGAAGGAAGGTTAAAGGAAAAGAACATGCCATCTCAGCCCCTTGTCAAAAAGAAATAATACCTCTGTAGATAGGGAAAGGTGGAGGGTTTTTTATAGTCGTGGGGGATGCAGACATGCAAGGACTAGAGGGAGAGACCTTGGATTAAAAATTGGCAGAGAAAAAGGGATTACAAAGATTTTCATCTGCACAACAAGAATGAGGCCTTATAGCCATGTCCAAAAGAGAAATAGTTCAGGAAGCAGTCAAACACCATGCTGAAGAGCACTACACATAAGTAGCTGCAAGCCCACAGTTGAAGCAAAATTTAAGAGTGAACAAGAAAGTGAGAAATATACTGAACAAGTGACACAAAATAAAGTATTGAATTTCTAGTCATTAAATGACAGCACTGATCCTGTGCAGTGAGGCAGGCAGTGGCCTTCCAAGAGGAAGCAGCAACTCTGTATGTGGTCACATTCATGGAAGGGTGTCTGAAAGCTTCAGCTTTTGAGAACAACAGAGGCAAGATGGAACCTGAGTGAAACAGGAAGAGAGTGTGAGGAACAAGAAAAACTAGAAAAATAAAGGCTGGAAGACATTTTTTGAGCCAGCAGCACTGAAGAGAAAGGAAGAAGTATCTGCTCTTAACATAGGCAGAAGAAAGCGGAGTCAGTCCAAATGTTTCATGCCCAAGCAAACCCAGATGTCAAGGATATCAAAGAACCTCTGGCACCTCCTTTAAAATTCAGTATACAGAAGATACATTTCATCACCAAAACAGGCAGCTTCTTCATACTCTCTGTCTAAACCTGCCTCTGGGTTTCTACACAGCTACTGCCACCTCACTGTCACTAATGAGCCCAACATTCTCATCTTTATTTTCAGTGTGCTTGACCATCTGGATGAGTCCAGTTATTGATCTCCATAGAAAGGCTGCTGCAGGCATATTATGCATTAACCTTTTATTATTATAGGGAAGCAAGTGAATGGGAGAAACTGAGGTGATGAGCTGAAACAACTTTCCTGATAAAAGAGAGGATATTAAATAGGAAGATGCAAATTAGAGACTCCCAGCTCAAAACAGGAGGTCTTTGAGGTCTTTGTTCTTCATCAAGGCCCTGAAATACGGCTCAAGTCTCAAGAACTAAAAGGCAGTGTTTCCATGGCCTTCAGAAGACTTTGGAGAAGGACAGAAAAGCAAAGGTCAACAAAGCAATCACAAGTGGCTGCAATAAACAGAACAGAGTACACAGTTTACTGGAGGAAATATGGCCTGTGTAATTCAGAAGGCAGGATTTAGCTTCAGTGTCCTCAGAGAGCAGATTTGTCAGATATAAATATCAAATATAACTACTATTCTTAATGCCAGCATCCCAACCATGTGCTCAGGGCATTTATAGGAGAAACAGCTTGCATTTAGCTTCAGTGCTTTCCCTCTCTAAGATAAATATTTTTTTAACTGAAACCTCTGTGTAAACCTTTCAACAGAACGTCTCTAGGTGTTAATTCTTTTTAATTGAACACTAATTAAATTAGAATTCAGTCAAATTAGTAACCAGGTCAAGTGGTTTCTCTTAGTTGCTATACTTAGTGAAATGTTCACATTAAAATAATTTCTCTGTTCTGGATACACATTACAACATGGAACTTTGCTACAGGAAAAACACCAAAGCTATAAAAAGCTAAATTTAAAGAAGCATCTGTTGAACTAGTTTTTTTACTTTCCCACCCTCCCTGGCCTTCTTTCCCTGAGCAGACAGAAGTTTTACCAGGGAGACAGTGAGAACAAACAGAAATCTCACCTTCAAAATGACCAAGTTAAAGGTCTTGTATTTTAATTACATG